CACTAACCGAGGGAACTGAGTGCTACCAACCAACATCGTACATGATTGCATACAATGTAATTCCAGTGGGCATGGGGGAAACTGTTCCATCCACAAAAGGACGGATCTATTGGTGGCACGGTGCTCATCCACATGGAAAAAACAATGAGCCTCTCGGAGCATATATGGGTACGATGAACAGTACCACCAGGTTGTAACAAAACGATCTCCAGCAAACTAGGAAAATGCAATCATGGCACTATTTATTACCTTATGAGGAGAAGGCGGCGGCGGCGGCACCTTCACGGGTTCTGCCTCCTCGACTTTGAAAGGCTCGTCGACCCGGCCGGAATCCCTGGGCGTGGCATCGCTCGAGAACGCCTTGCCGTTCTTCAACAGAACTGGCGAGCTGCTCACATCATCCCACCCAAGGTAAGAGAAAACACAGTCGGCGATGATATCTCGGCAGCAAGAAAAATACGAGGATTTCGCGCCACAATCCGGCCGCCAAATGCGGCTCGCGACTGCGATAAAACCGCCGCAATGTCGCAAATTGACGAATTGAGGATTATTTCCCCCCCATTCCCCGAGCTCTGTCCTCGGGGACGTATGAAACGCGTGACACGAGAAGGGACGCCGGGGGTCACCTGAGACGGGAGGGCGAGACGGAGCAGGAGGAACGGATCAGGCGGCTCAGGGCCGACCTCATCGCCGCCGCCGACGAACTCTCCTCGCGGCCGCGCCGAAAACGGAGGGGCGGGGGATCGGACGGGGGAGGGACGGGGGCAAAGGTGTGTGTAACAGTGGAAGGTTCGCGAGAGGGGGTTTGGGATCTCCTACTATATGGTCCGCGCGGTGGGCGGAAGCGGCCCGGGTGGCGCAGCCGGGGCGTGCCAGGTCGCGGCTTGACGTGCGGTTCCTAGGCGATGAACGTAGCGGACTAGCGAGGTAGTGTCTGGTGTGCCATGGCGCGGCCGTTCCCATCTCTTCAACAACAACAAAAAAGGACACATGGTATGTGTGGTTATCAGCTTTATATCTAAAATTGCAAATTGAGCATGGGTCATACGGTTAAATTCTTTGTGGTGAAACCAATCCATCAAAGTTCAAGTCCTAAACTTGATACTGATGGTCACATTTTCCTAGAGATAGGGTGTACGTGCATGTGTACATGTGGGTGACTGTACGTATCTATGCATGAGCGTATGTGTTTCTATATTGTTCAAAAAACCTTATATTTAAAAGTTATAGTTAAAACCCATATTTAAAATTGAGCTATCATGCTTTAAATAGATAATAAATAAATAAGACATAATAAAAAAAGCCCCTCCTATGAATTTAGTTGGCTCAAGGAATTTTTATGTCAAATTTTAAACATTAACAAGAAAAAACTCGCGTTTATCAAAGAATTTAAGAAGCATGATGCAGACGATCACAAAATGCACATACACTCTTTTCTATGAATGCAAACATATACATTCTAATTTTATGAGCACCTAGAGACATTGAGTCTGTGGAATCACAAAGTCATCACAGTCGTCTCCGGCTGGAAAAATATTGCGTCTTTACAAAATACCAAAGCGTCAAACCTAAAGTTTGATCCCTGATGGGCTCGAACATCACTGCCCATTCAAACACGGGTTGATTCTCACGCTACCAATTTTTTTGGTAATGATAAAATAATATGTTTTGTTTGTTGTTAAGTATTAGCATGCCAACGACTTGATGATTGTTTTGAGAGAAAATTAGGACACCACTATAGCGCAACGTCTCTATCGTGCAACACCAGATTGCAAGATGACATCCTTTCCATCGCAACACACACACACACACACACACACACGAGGGACAAGGAGCTAAAATCAAACGGCGTGGAAACTGGTGCGTTGAAAGACTCCATGGTGAGCATTAAGACAAGCACCTTGTGCCCCCTTCGTCTCGCTTCTCTGGGCGACAAGGCGAATAGGTTTTCATGTCTTCTGTCACCCCGCCATGGCGCCACCAGTCCGCCACGTCTCTCGTGGCCTTAAGCCCATGGAGGCATGGTGGACCCAGCCCTTGCCGGTGGGAGGGATGCAGCACTGTTTTAGTTACATTTTTTAGTTCATTAGGGTTTTGTCTTGCTCAAGTAGGTGAGGTGGTGGCCCTCTCTGATGATGAAATAAGGTCCTTCTCGCCTGGCCCTAGCTTGACAGTGCATCTAGCGTCATCGGAGGCATGTGGAGATGTGCGATCTCGCAGGATTTAGTTTGGTGTTGGTCTTTGGTGGATTTGCTTGGAGGGGGGGGCAAAGGTGTGTGTAACGGTGGAATGCTCGCGAGAGGGGGTTTGGGATCTCCTACTATATGGTCCACACGGTGGGCAGAAGCGGCCCGGGTGGCGCAGTCGGGGCGTGCCAGGTCGCGGCTTGACGTGCGGTTCCTAGGCGGCGAACGTAGCGGACTAGCGAGGTGGTGTCTGGTGTGTCATGGCGCGGCCGTTCCGCGTGTTTTGGGTGTGTTTTAGGTTGGTCAAAACTCACGTTACCATCTCTTCAACAACAACAAAAAAGGACACATGGTATGTGTGGTTATCAGCTTCATATCTAAAATTGCAAATTGAGCATGGGTCAAACGGTTAAATTTTTTATGGTGAAACCAATTCATCAGAGTTCAAGTCCTAAACTTGACATTGGTGGTCACATTTTCCTAGAGGTAGGGTGTACCTGCATGTGTACATGTGGGTGACTGTACGTATCTATGCATGAGCGTATGTGTTTCTATTGTGTTCAAAAAAACCTTATATTTAAAAATTATAGTTAAAACCCATATTTAAAATTGAGCTATCATGCTTTAAATAGATAATAAATAAATAATACATAATAAAAAAGCCCCTCCTATGAATTTAGTTGGCTCAAGGAATTTTTTATGTCAAATTTTAAACATTAACAAGAAAAAATTCGTGTTTATCAAAGAATTTAAGAAGCATGATGCAGACGATCACAAACATGCACATACACTCTTTTCTATGAATGCAAACATATACATTCTAATTTTATGAGCACCTAGAGACATTGAGTCTGTGGAATCACAAAGTCATCACAGTCGTCTCCGGCTGGAAAAATATTACGTCTTTACAAAATACCAAAGCGTCAAACCTAAAGTTTGATCCCTAGTGGGCTCGAACATCACTGCCCATTCAAACACGGGTTGATTCTCACGCTACCAATTTTTCTGGTAATGATAAAATAATATGTTTTGTTTGTTGTTAAGTATTAGCATGCTAACGACTTGATGATTGTTTTGAGAGAAAATTAGGACACCACTATAGCGCAACGTCTCTATCGTGCAACACCAGATTGCAAGATGACATCCTTTCCATCGCAACACACACACACACAAGGGACAAGGAGCTAAAATCAAACGGCGTGGAAACTGGCGCGTTGAAAGACTCCATGGTGAGCATTAAGACAAGCACCTTGTGCCCCCTTCATCTCGCTTCTCTGGGCGACAAGGCGAATAGGTTTTCATGTTTTCTGTCACCCCGCCATGGCGCCACCAGTCCGCCACGTCTCTCGTGGCCTTAAGCCCATGGAGGCGTGATGGACCCAGCCCTTGCCAATGGGAGGGATGCAGCACCGTTTTAGTTACATTTTTTAGTTCATTAGGGTTTTGTCTTGCTCAAGTAGGTGAGGTGGTGGCCCTCTCTGATGATGAAATAAGGTCCTTCTTGCCTAGCCATAGCTTGGCGGTGCATCTAGCATCATCGGAGGCGTGTGGAGATGTGCGATCTCGCGGGATTCAGTTTGGTGTTGGTCTTTGGTGGATTTGCTTGGATCCACTTCGTTCAAGTGATGTCAAAGTTGGATCCTTCCAACTTAAACTTCGACGACAGTTGTTTATTTTGATGGGCTAGTATTTTGGTTTTAAATAGCAGATAGCGGGCTGGTAGCGGATTGGGGTCCGCATAGCGGGCGACATTGCGGGCGCTATGTCAACGTAACGGATTTGTAGAAACCTATATTATTGTGTATATTTATAGATCATTAACAAAAAGTAATAACATTTAATTTGAGCAATAGCGTAGGCTATTGCGCTAGCGCTATTCCGGATGCAATAGCGAATGCTATCTTTACTATTTGAAACTATTTGTCTACTATAACAAGGTTGGACCCACTCCAAAGAGGAAGGAGCGTTCGGCTCGCTCTAGTTCTTATAGTTATCACTAGGTGGTCTATGGATCTTGTTATAAGTTTTGTTACTTCTGGTGTTTTTTTATTACCGTGATAGGTGATGGGTAGATCATAAGTTCTTAAAAAGGAAAAGAAAAAAGACCCGATGACACAACATGCAGTCTATGGACTTGCGGGGAAAATGTTGGCAATCTCTGGCATCTCATGGGCAAGCACCTAACCATTTAGCTAGCCAAATATTTGATGAAGCAAAGTTGAGCTAAAACCAAACCTATCATAATCTTGGAATCTCTCTTTTATTTTATCAGCGAATCTGGTATAAATAGTCGAGAACACTGCTCTGCATTGTTAGCTATCTCGGAAACAATCTACAACCGCATACTGACCAAGAGATGACTAGTCATATCCGATCCTAGCTTCATATCTAGACTATTTGAAAGGTTCTGGGCTTTTGTATATGAGAGTTAATTGGGTGTGCATAAGGCCTGTGACGTAGTGGAATGGATATTTTACAAAAGATGATGCTCGGGATTTCATTGTCCTTCTTATGGCTTGTCTTTCTCCTATTAGATATAATGTCGGGTTCAAGGACCGGAAAACGGAATAATTTATTCCCACTAGGGGTCTTCGCTAGGGGGGCCCTTTATCATTGTGCGCGGAAGGGTTATCAAGTTTATTGGCTCATGCGGAGGAGGTTCGTGGCATAGAGGGGGTAAGGCTATGCAAAATTTGAAGGAAATATGCCCTAGAGGCAATAACAAAGTTGTTATTTATATTTCCTTATATCAGATAAATGTTTATTATTCATGCTAGAATTGTATTAACCGGAAACTTAGTACATGTGTGAATACATGGACAAAACAGAGTGTCCCTAGTATGCTTGTACTTGACTAGCTCGTTAATTAAGTTTTCTGACCATAGACATGTGTTGTCATTTGATGAACGGGATCACATCGTTAGAGAATGATGTGATGGACAAGACCCATCCGTTAGCTTAGCTTAAATGATCGTTTAAGTTTTATTGCTATTGCTTTCATCATGACTTATACATGTTTCTCTGACTATGAGATTATGCAACTCCCAAATACTGGAGGAACACCTTGTGTGCTATTAAACGTCACAACGTAACTAGGTGATTATAAAGATGCTCTACAGGTGTCTTCGATGGTGTTTGTTGAGTTGGCATAAATAGAGATTAGGATTTGTCACTTTGTGTATCGAAGAGGTATCTCTGGGCCCTCTCGGTAATGCACATCACTATAAGCCTTGAAAGCAATGTGACTAATGAGTTAGTTGCAGGATGTTGCATTACGGAACGAGTAAAGAGACTTGCCGGTAACGAGATTGAACTACGTATTGAGACACCGATGATCGAATCTCGGGCAAGTAACATACCGATGACAAAGGGAACAACGTATGTTGTTATGCGGTTTGACCGATAAAGATCTTCGTAGAATATGTAGGAACCAATACAAGCATCGAGGTTCCGCTATTGGTTATTGACCGGAGATGAGTGTCGGTCATGTCTATATAGTTCT